TAAATGACTATAATTTCAATTTGGCTTGGGAAGCTCTAAAGGAACGAAACATTCATAGTAGCCAAAAGAGCCACAGAAAAACAGTTTGTGGATTTCTTTAAACAAGTGTGCCCTGATATTTTACAAAATTTCGCACCTCAAGGTATCAATTGGCAATTTATGCCTCTAATCGCTCCTCATATGGGTGGTTTATGGTAATAAGCTGTAAAGAGCTTCAAAAAAATGAAGAATTCACGACATTATTAGCTAAAATCGATGCCGTTCTCAACTCATGGCCGCTCACGGCACTCTCGCAAGATCCCTCCGACTTCACAGCCCTAACTCCAGGGCACTTTCTAAAAGGAGTACCCATTCTGGTCACACATGAGCCAGGCGTGGAGTCGCTATTCTTATTATATAGATGGGAAAGAATTAAAATTCTGAATTATAATTTCAGCAGGCGATGGAAAGAAGACTATATAAAGGACGTCCACAAGAGGTACCGATGGAAAAGTGCAGAAAATTCGCCAAAAGTTGGAGATTGTGTCCTGATTCATGATGATTGCCTGCCATCTACCGAATGGCGCATAGAGAAGCTTTAAGCGCTCCGACGGTCATATTCGCGTAGTCGATCTTCGTACGCAATCCGGAAAGCTCACAAGACAAAAAATAAGGTGACATTTGAATTTAAACTGCAAACTAAACTTTAACGATCATTTCGCCAAAAACTCAACCCATATCGTTCCGCATCCACCGTATTCACCTGATCTGGCGCCGTGCGACTTCTGGGTGTTCACCAAGCTCAAAAGACCGCTCCGGGGACAACGTTTTTATACGATATTCAAGTCGTAGCGAAGATGGAACTGAAGGCCATCCCGGAAAGTGACTACAACCAGTGTTTCGAAGATTGGAAAATCCATTGTCATAATGTACTACATCTAGTGGGGATTACTTTGAAGGGGATGAAATTGATTTGGAAGAATAAATAAAGAATTTTCAAAATAAATACAATATCACCATATTTTTTGGGCCCAGTAATATATTTAAAATAACACCCGAAACAACATAAGTAATCGATTAACCTAACGACCCACTCATGCCGCATAACGTGGCAGCCATGCTTATATGCCCTATATGCAACCAAATTCTAATTTAGATAACACTCTTCCATACAGATCAAGATCGATGCAGACATGCTAGCAGCCCCGACACCAACCACTCGTTCGGTTGTCAATGTGTCACATCAAGCGGCTGCCCCAGTTGCAACGCCCCGAGCCGTCAACAACCGCGCTAGTAGCAGACGCACAACGTCTTTGATGCCCTCTATGTCGTCGACCCCACCGGCTGCCACAATGCGTCATCTCTAAGGGATTGCCACCTCAGCAACGCCAGCTGGTTGTCCAGGCGCACGGCCATTTTACCTCCATATGCGGCCGCATCACATCATGTTGCCGAACCACTCGGAACGACACAAGTCAACATCCTGCCGGCCGCAACCGCGGCGCAGTACGGCGACCGCCAGTAAGCCGGGATGCACGGTCCCGTCGAACAATAGAGTCATCATCATCCCGTGACCGGCGGCGACATAATGGGGCGTCAACACGACGCCAGCAACACCGACCTCGTCCGCACCCACATCAGGCCTCAGCAGCGTCGTAGCCACTCTCCAGCAACTTCAAAACAATCTTGTTGGTAGATATAGAAAAGCATGTCGCGATCTACGCTGAGAGTGTGGCAGTTTCGGTTAGAGGTAAATTCCTGAAAATCTGAAACGCTACCAGGGTAAATGTAGTATTGTTCACTAAAAAATTCAAAACTCCAGAATTTATTTCGCCATTATTAAATTTAACCAGGCTCTCAAAAGGAAAATAGGAAAGCTAATTTGAATATTATATAGGAAGTTACATAGAAAAGGAAACTTAGACGCTATGGAAAAGAAAGCGAAGTCAGCTTTCCCACTAAGGGACTCCACCCTATTAGTCGCCTGTTCGAGGAACATTCTACAATACTTAGAAAGTTCCCGTTTCTAAGCATTACCACAGATTTTCTAATTCCTTTATAGCTGAATTCAAAATCTCTATAGAAGAATGGAAAAGGTGCTAGGTGAATAAGGGCGGAGGAATAAGTGTACACGGATATACGGATGGGGGTTTTTTTATGATAAACTCGATACCGAAATCACCTTTCGTCTACCAGACCACCGATGTGTTTTCCAAGCAGACATCACAATAATTAACCCGTATGTGGGTACCACCACACTTTTCTTCTAATAATTCAGTGAAATAATTTTGTTTTCTAACTGAGCTTCCTTATCCTTGCGATTTAGCTTTCAACAAAGTTATTTCAGTATTCAAAATTGAAAAAAAAATTTTAATGAGATGAAAGGTATGTTTGAAATTAGGTAACTCGCGGGGAGCACCCGGGTACCCACTATAAGAAAAACAATGCAATCATCTGTAAATGAGATTCAATACTGAGAAATGTGTCAACTAGATAACTTGGGATAATAAATAATTAATTACATGAATTGGCAGCCTAAATTTAGTAAAACTTCATTTATTATTCAGCACAATCAGGACATATTATTTTCGATATAGAGTGTTCATCGCATACAGGCCTTTTGCAATTAGTACAACTTTTTCGAGTTTTTCTTCGCTTTTTGATTGCCAGTTGGTAGCAAACGTGAGAAGAACCAGTGACTTTTTTCCTACCAGAGCTCTCGCGAGACATTGAAAAACATTGCAAGAAGCCATCTCTGAGTACGTCTATGAGTGGTGTATCGGCTCACCATTTGATCCATAGTGTCAACACCAGTCTTATATTTATTATAATGAGTAATCATATCAGGTTTTTTTCTCGTCGTCATTTACAGGAGTATCAGAATGCATAGTCGAAAGCAGAATAACAGCTTTGTTTTTTTTGGGACATATGAACAAAGGGCAACAGAACGTTCGTGAAAACCGAAGAGCGACGAGAATTCAGGTCTAGATTTATTTGCCGGCATTTGTTTGGGTATACAAGGCTTATTTTTCTTCAATGTACCAGTGATTACCAATTTCCATGAGAGCAAGTGTTTAGCAAGAGGCAAAGTCGTAAAATAATTATCCATTGTTTTATTTCGGCCACTTCCTTTGAATGGAGCTGCAAGTTTTTTTACGACTCTCTCTCCTTGATTTTTTTCTCGAACATTGACAGTTTTTCCTGTGTAAAAAATTCCTGACATGGGATATGCGTTTTCAGCATCGCAAATCCACCAAATTTTTATGCCGTATTTAGCGGGTTTCGAAGGAATGTACTGTGTGAAGCTTGTGTGCCCGCGATAAGGATAAAGCTGCTCATCGATTGTCAAATTTTCCGAAGATTTGTATACTTTACCCAAATTTGCATTGAACATTGTCCAAAAATCACGTATAGCAACAGCTTTATCATTTTTTGTACGTGTTTGGCGTGTGTTGAAGTTTGTTGAAACCCATCGCTGCACGATAAAGAGGATATGAGTTACTCTTCCACATATCGATAGTATGATCCGTATTCGAATTATTGACGCCAGAGCAAATCAGAATCCCAATGAATGCATACTTGCTCAGTTGCTGAACGCCACGCTCTATTTTGCGCGTTATGATCTTTATAGGCGCTTAAGGCTTTCTGGTTTGTATAGCGAACAATAAAATCAACCATTTCAACTGAGATTATAGTCTTAAATGTATCTCCTATGGACAATGTTTCTGTAGATCTAACAGGACCACTTCTCTGTCGCAAAATTGTGAGAAGCCGTTTGTCGAATTTCAGGCGGCTTCTTACACCAGCCAGTTTGGTCTTTCGCAACGTATTCATGGGAATTTTCTATACCTGCTTCTTCCTCTCTCATCGATACACCTGCGGCTGTGTCTTCTGCTTCACTCTCTTCTGACTTACTGGTCATCTCCCCCCTTCCCTTTCGGACGTCTCGTTTGCAGTTGCACCATCTGTTGCTGGATCGCTATCATCTTCATATTCTGAGCTCTTATCTTCTTCTCCGAGTAAATTATCCAGATATTCCTTCTTTTTAGAACGAGTCAATCTAATCAATAAAATTATGCTCACCTTCCGAATTGATAACGTGATAGACGATCTTCCATTATGAACTGCCAATTATTATCTCTATAAAATGCTCGATTGAGTCCACAAAGTGTTCGAAATTCTTGGGTTATGAGTTAATAATGTCGATTCTTATGCAAAGCAGCGCTGTGCTCATCGACGCAGTCAACTTTCCGTGCTTTACAAAACATTCCTCATCAACTTTTCACTTCTCACTGATTCACAGTTGCATAAATATAATAGATAAAATGATTAGAAACTCTTTTCTTACTCTCTCGCTTGTCAGTTGGCAGCGGACCCTGATCTTTTTTCTGAGGAAAAGGCCGGATGCCAGAAGAATAGCGGTAAAACGAACTGCCAAAATTAGTGCGTTGTTGAAATTCTGTGTAATTAGATGTCGGTAGTTCGTAAAATTATTTATATATATGGGACATATAGGCCTACTGGGGAACCGAGCTCTCAAAAATAATAGGGTTACAACGCAATTTGCATACTTCAGTGGTAGTGTGGGAAATGCAAAATATCCAAAAGTTAATTATAAAATGCCCAATCTAATATTTTTCAGGAGTGGCATCATTGGTAAATGTTATAAAAAACTCGAGTTTTGAAAGCTTTCTCTCGAATCAAAGAGTTTCATTCAATTTATCTATGGGCAAGCTGCGTCACCTGCTCCGAAGTTACTGAAATGAGCCTATTCTTCGATAATACCAAAACTACAAACATTTCGGATACGTGTCGACGTGTAAAAGTAAAAACTGACCGTGTCCCACCCGCAGAGCGCGGGAAATCCCTATACCGATTCTATTCCAGAAAAATAAAATGTGCGACAAGAGTCAAACACAGCCTTAATACTCGTTATATTCTCTTAAGAGAATAATTAAATTGTTTTTTCAGAATTTCGTTCGCTTCCAAACTTCGAAAGTATTTAATTAATATTGATCTTTTATGAAGATTACTGTGCATATATGTATTTAATAATTAGTAGTTATATGGTCCATATTGCGACCCGYGGTAATATGGCCCAGGATAAATTTGCGGTTGTGGGTAACTAGCATAGGGTGGATATGGCGGTTGCTTCTGTGAATACACTATATATTTTAAGAAAGCATTATTGCAATGAAAAATATAATTCAAATATTTATAAGTCACCTGGCATTAAATATTGTAAGTTCAGCTGTTCTTCTTTCTCACGTTCGTTCCGTAAGCAAATAGCAGCAGCTGACAGTAAGATTGCCGCTAGTAAACAGGCACCTATTCCAGCCCAGGCAGTGAGATATGACCAATCGTATGTAATTTTTGTGTTATCCCTGAGTACCTAAGTGAATAAAAGGTTTTTATTTGTCTTAACTTATTCACGCAATATGTTACGCATGAGTTTTCATATAACAGTTGCAAGTAATTGCTTTAGAGTATTTCAAGCGAATTATAAAAATTAGGTAGATCGATTGTTTTGTCGATATGTTAGTTTATTAGAAATATTAGGTTAAGTTGATGTTAACCACCCTGAGGAGATGGTAATACATAAAGCTTCAATTTAGAGCTGGTGTGGCGTCAGACTCCTATTTTTATATTAAATACATATATTTCCTAGATCCTTGAGAGATTGATAAAATCTACGAAACACGAAAAACTGATTCATACAACTCAGCCTATACTTATTTAATCTAGTATTGTTGCAATCGGTCCAAACTATTTCTATTAATTGTTGCTGATTTCTGTTTTAAAATTTTATATAATGAACCGATACATGTGATATATTGCGAAATATTTAACACGCCTTTAATTCTTATAAATTTAGTGACTGCAATCTTAGTATTCTGTTGCTTGCTTTTTTTCAGTTACCGTATTCCATTGCTGGTAGTAGTCTTCTCCAACAACTTTCTCTTTTTCAAAAAATTCAACAGTGTGCCATAAGCCCATAGCGCCAGCAGATAGTAAGCAACTTGCTAATAAAAGAATTGATGTAGCTGTTATGGCGCCGGATGATCGCTTCCAACATCCAGACAGTCCTGTCCAAAAAGCGCAGAAAATTGTGACAAAGCTAAATAAAAACAGTATGTATATATATTTATATATATAGATCATATTTAAAAATTGTTATAATATTATGTTACCCGATAACAAATAAAGCTATACAAGACCGCGCTAAGTGTAGTCTGGAATTCGCATCTTCGTTCGAAGTCTTTTCGTCATCGATTTGAGGAAAATAGTCTAAATTAGAGCAATGTGTTTCTATTGGTGACAAGTATGTAGGGACTGAAACGCAAGAAATTAAAATTATTCAATGCATATTAAGAATTTATACTTCTTAATTTTCTTTACTAGGCCGTAAAGAGCTACAATGGATACAACCATTTTAAGATGGAATAGCAAAAGAGATAGATTTCAGAGTTAAATTCTTAATTTTTAATTACACTGTTTCGATTGCAAATATTAAAAAATATTTTTCATTCAACAAAAAATATCTTAATAGCATAGGTTTTTACCAATTTTTTGTTAATATATTGTGACATCCAAAGCGAAAACAGGGAATTAACGCCGAAATATTTTAATTACAACTGAATCCTATCGGAAAATATATGCTAAAAAAATAACGGGAGTTTTCGTTAAAAAAAAAAATTATTAATTTGTCTACAATAGCGATGTGCTTTTATTGTTACCTATGCTTGTAAAACTTGTTTCGATCTGAAGGAAGAAAAGAATTCCTGTGCAGGTCTGTGTTGATTAACGTATTATTTTGCCGACAACTGTTTATTATTTTTAGTCAATAATTATGATATTTCAAAAATATGTAAAAATGTAGAAATTCCTAAAAGCTTGCAAATTGATTTGCGATATAGAAAGTTTGTTTAAGAGGTAACGCCAATAGCAAATAACACATATTACTTCAATTTTGCACCACTTTTTTACGCATCTTCTTTTTTACTGGCGTAGACACCGCTTACGCGATTATATCCAACTTAACAACAGCGCGCCAGTCGTTTCTTCTTTTCACAACATGGCGCCAATTGGAAATTCCTAGCGAAATCAGGTTCTTCTCCACCTAGTTTTTCCAACGGAGTGGAGGGCTTACTCTGTCTCCCCCGGCGGTTATTGCGTCGAATACTTTCAGAGCTGGAGTGTTTTCGTCCATGCTTACCATGTGTAAGTCATGTGCGCAACCCTTTTAATTCGGTAAACCATGTCAATGCCGTCGTATATCTCATCGTTCCATCGAATGCGACATTCGCTGAGGACAACGCACAGAGGTCCATAAATCTTTTGCAGAACCTTTCTCTCGAAAACTTGTGACGTCGACTCATCAGGTGTTGTCATCGTCCGTGCCAATACATCATATAAGGGGATGGGAATAATAAGTGGCTTATAGAGTTTGGGTTTTATTCGTTTAGAGAGGGCTTTACTTCAGAATATGAAATCAAATGATTGTATATTTTTTAATATATAAAAATGTTTTTAAACAATTTTTATTTAAAAGAAATATATCAATAATAAATGAATCACAAAAGGCAAATTTGAGGCTTTTTAGTACCAACCTTATTGCGAGATAAATGCCTAAGTTTCTGCTTTTTACTAATTTTTCAACAAGCAGAGTAATAGTATTCCCTTCATAATCAATTTTCAAAAAAACTTATTAGAGTAAGATTGTTTTTTTAATATTTGATCCCTCCTAAATAGTATTTATAAACAAATAAGAAAGGTGTAACCGAATATTTCATACTGTTGCAACTTACAACCAATGACAGGGAAACCAACCATATTCCAATGTTATATTTATATAACTCACTAACAGACCGCTATAATTGGAATAAGGTTTTTTAGAGTAACGAATATGATTATATATAGTAATATATGCTATTTCGAAGAATTTCAAATATTCTTGGCCTTAACTGTAGTATATCCAATATTATTCGCTCATATGATTTTGACGAAAAAGAGGAGGTAGTATTGAGCCGATTTTATATATTTATTTTCAATACTACATGCAGTTAAAAACGCCCCCAAGGTTTATTAAGGATCATATATATTAAAGTCAAACGTTAATTTGAAAATGGTTATATTGGTTATATAAGGGTCAAGTTTTCACCCAGTTTTATCCATTTTAGCCACAGAGATATACTGTTGTGAGTAAAACAGGCTCTCTCAATTTTATTAAGACAACTAACATATTAGCGGATATATGAGATATAAGGTCACCCGGAAAATCGGTTGAGCAGTTAACGAGATGTGTGATTTCAGGTAAACGAGGGCAGTGCCACGCCCATTGTCCAATTTTAACCGTCTCTTATAAAGCTGTCTAAAGTCATCTCAGTGGTAAAATTTATTGCCGCTGGAGTTTTTGGTTATTGATTTATAGGGCTTTTAGCAGCTTTCAACAGTACCGTTAGTGAGCATTCATTTTCACACTAACGGTAAGAGTTCTTATAGGATTTCTCTTGAGCGATTTTGGTTATTTTGGCGGGAACAGTTTGAGTGATATGAATATTAAACTTATTAAAGCGTAGCGCCACGCCCAATTTTGCAAAGTTTTTAGCCCACAGATGCCCCTTGCCTGGGATCCTCTGTGTAAATTATAGTTCCATATCTGAATTTAGTGCTTATTTATGGCACTTTATAGGATGTCCTTTAATGATATTTGGGCGAGGGCGTGGCAGTGATACGATAGTACTCATCCACGAGCTCGTTGTTACTTTTCTGCCAAGGGTACATATATTATTTACCAAGTGTCATTACGTTATTCAAATCAATCAAATCAATTTTAATCCAGACGGACGGGTGGACGAACAGACAGGCAGTCAACCGGATTTAAACTCATCTCATCAATTTTAGGTGACACATACAACCGTTAGGTTAGGTAAACAGAACTATTATACTCTGTAGCAACATGTTGCAAGACTATAAAAAATGCGATACGATAATAATATAGCGAAATTAAACGAAATTAATATATGAAGAAAAATATAGTAAGCATACAGTTTTAATATTTGCCTTTGATCTTACTTTTTGCTTTATTTTACAGTTTTATGTAAAAAAAATAGTTTATACACTTACCCGCATTCAAAGGTGGTCTCTCCTTCGGGAAGCATACTCGAAATAAACCTCTTGTTCGAGGGTAATAAAAATATTTGTTGGTCATGCTATTGAAAAGATCATCGGCATCAGTATGTTTTGCAGCAAACATCTAGGTAAAATGTACAAAAAGTAATATTATACCATATTTATTATAATTATTTTTTATAGAGAAGGAGGAAAGATTGTTCTTTAGCCCCGTCAATAAACCGTAATATGTTATAATATATACATTTTAAATAAGGGGGATGATCAGCCAAAAACCCCAAAATTTACGGAGGACACTGAAAGCGATCCCAGCATAGGCTACAACACATGTATGGAAAAAGGGAGTAAGCGAGGGGCGTGGTTTAGTTTTGAAGAGTTAAAAAATGAGTCTTAGAAATAGAACAGTTTTTGGCAGCCGCAAACGGCAAACAAATATTTCTTTTCCCCGTCAATATATACTTTGAATTGCGGGAAACTTGCCTCTGATAAAAATATACAAAAGTATGAATTTGTAATTAAATAATATAGTTTGAGGATAAAAACAGTATTTAAAATTGCCATATCTCAGATTGAAATAATCCGAACATTGTCACGCTCACAAAATACCGTTAACCAACACTGTATAATACCATAAATAAGCTTCAAATTAAAACAAAAATTATAATTTGTGGCAGGAAGTGTAAGTTGTAAGTGTAGTAACGGGCATCTGTGGGGTAAATGTTGTAAATGTTTTCAATAGAACTTTCCATGAATAGTTTCTTTTAGGTAGCCATAAAATATCAATTATGTTGACCTCGGTACCTATGACTGACTTTTTACCATTTGTGCAATTGATTATACAAAACGGGATGAGATTCGCTGACCTTGCGCTTCGCACAGTTTTGTGTCGCATTGTATCGTATGAGTTTAATGCATCATACTCTTTAAATTATGGATTTGTAACTAATGCCCCCTTGAAATTTAAACGTCCTTTTGTCTCGTCCTTTGAATATTTAGGTGTGTTGAAAATTTGGTTCAGTCCGGTTGCGATAGTTTAATTGATTGTTTTTATAAGATATTTTCCAAAAATTAAGATGATGTTGGTTGCATGTTTTGCACTATTTGCTGTTTCTCACAAGTTTACTTTTTTGTATTGTTAAAGTTTAGCTGTTTCAGCATCTCCAGCGAGGGGGATATTTTGATTTTGATATTTTATTAAATATTTATGCTAACAATAGTTTTTTTTTATTCCATAGTTTTTCTCTTCACAATTGAGAGTTGTATTGAAAATGATTTTACTAAATTTTTCCATTATTGTTTTATAAATTATAATTTTTACTATTAGTTGCATTTTTATTTTCGTGTTGCCTACTACCTTCCTTGCAATATCTGCATATATCAAATGACGAAAATTTGACAAGATAAACGAATTTATTATATTGGCCTTGTCCAACGTATTGCTTATGCGATATTTAGAACTTTTTTACTTGCATTTTAACTGTAAGAATGATTTTATTCCCATTTTTTTACATTTTTAATTATATTACCCGTAATATGGTTATAATTATGTTGCAAACATTATTTATTTTACTTGAAATAATTTCCTACAATTTCGTATATCTTTTTTAATTTCCTGTTTGTAGTCTAGCTGTTCTTTATTCTATTGTTATAAGTTGTGAGTTTCAATAATCGAGTATCTGTACTTCCGCCCAGCGTAGCGGTAATAATATTGTGGTAAAGAATTACAGTATCTTAACTTACATATTCTACTATTGTTAATTATTTGTCCTGTTTCCATTAACACGGCATTTTCTTAAACTATTTTCCTACTGTATGGATTACTTCGCTCAGATCCTAATCTTCTATTATTCTTACCTAAAATTACTTTTCCTGGTAGATAAGTCTTTATTTCCTGCGTATTCTCATCATGGTATTCGTTAGCCTTGCTTTGTTTGGATATATTGGTAATGGAATTGCCAATATTTCAATTGGTTTCCTTACAAACGGTGCAGTTGGCTCTTATTCGTTATATTTAGCATACCGCGGAAATATTTTTTTTCGAGAGTGCTGCTCTTACATGTTTTTTTCTTGTTCGTTCCTAATATCTTCAACTAATTTTTGGGTGTATCGGCTTTTAATATTACCGAAGTGAATAGGATATCCTTTCTTCTATATGAATTCCATTTATAAAAGATGGGCTAAGGTATCGTTTCATGTAAGAAATCACTAATTGTTCTTTGTACTCTGGTTCTGTAATTATATGTCTATGAACAGTTGCAAAAATTATGTTTAAATGCTATGAAGGTATTTCGTCAAGCTTGAATAAAAATTAGCTTTTTGAAATCATCGATTAACTTATGACTTGATCTTTTATCGTTATGATTTGCAGAGGAGAGTCTATCGATCTCCTTGAAAAACATTTGTTTTACCATGTTAGTAAGTTAGCTCGTAATTATAATCTTCTAAAATAGCTTTCCATCGTATAATTTTACTGTGGTTGTTTTCGTCAGGTTCGACACAAAGGTTCGGACACTTATTAATAATATTATTAATTTCATTTTGTTTTTTTTAAAGAGCGGTGCGGAATTTTTATCGGTATGTATGATTTCTTTCAATTATTTAATCTGAAAAATTAATAGTATCAATTGTTCTGTAGTTTCATAATTGTTATGGTGGGAAACGACGTCATATATTCCATTCGGGTTTACTTCTACTGTGTTATTAAAGAAAATGCGTTGTATTTTATTTGTAGAGTTGTGCGGAACTGGGTCTATTTTGGAAAGTAACCTGTTTTGAGTGTATTGACTGATCTACTTCCCTCGGAGTCAGTGTTTTAGGTGGCAAGTTTGGTCCGTTATTAAAGGAATTATTTCCTACATTTCCTACATTAGTGAATCCCTGATTATTTTGCATATAATTACGTGAAATAATGGGTTGGTGAGATCGGTAAAAGGCACTGTTGTTATTTAAATTATTAAAAGCATTATTTCGAGCAGGTCGTGGTTAAGTATTGGGTTTATGTGTGTTATGCGCACTATTAATTCTATAGGTCATGTTGTCTAGTCTAATATAAGAGAAAGGTTTTAGTAAATTTTCTCTCGGAAAGTCGAAATATTTTTGAGGTGCTAGACCAGAGTGGACAGCTGGTATTCAAGAATACCTATGTCCCTTTTATTCTAGTAATGCATCATGAACGTCATGAAGCATTTTTGAATTTGACTCTATTCAACAGCAGTGTTGTATGACTCCAATGCTATTTGTGAGTAGTATGGCAAAGTGTTCTTGGATGTTCTTGGCACCATAGGACACCTTAAACAACCAATCAACGCTCTTCCTCCAGGAGTTAAATTCTCCTGGTCATCCAAAAAATTCCCTAAAACCTACCATGTCAGGTCATATAAGAATGCTAATACTGCGGTACCTCGACGTTATTAGATCCAGTGTGGCGTTCATAGCCACTCAAGTTGCACAACATTTATTTTTTCTACACTCATATGACCATATTTTTATATTTTCAGGCTTAGTGGCGTTCTTTTTCGAACTTCTATTTGTTTTTCCACTCGCGTAGACTTACTGTTTGGTTTTCAAACTTTTTCACTACGGGCGCCTTTTATTAGGTTTTTTTTTTATAAAAAAAAGAAAATATTTTTGGGATCTAAGTTTCTTTGTTGAATTTCGAATTGTAACCAAAAGTTAAAATTAATTATACCTAACGCTGCTAGGGTTCATGAAATACCTCAGAACCCTTATTTTACATAAAGTAAGTCAGTCTACAAATGCAATAAGTTCAGCCCTGCCCATTCCCCAAATATACTTCAGACAATCATATTCGGCCTTCCACCTAACTTTAAACCGCTTCAAATATGATATGTTGGTCAATATTTGTGGTAATATTTTAATAATATTGATTGACTATGTTTTCTTATATATAAAAAGCCGCCAAAGAACAAAATTCATACTTTTATTATCTATTTTTCTATTAGTTATTTATACAGTAAAAATTAAAAAGTTAAAAATGTAAAAGCTGATGAAGTCAGTGGTTTCAAAACTTGACAAGTGAACATACCCTCGATTTTAATGCCTCAAGTAATCTAAAACCAAGAAACAAAAAATAATGTGAATGTAGAATCAGTACTACGGAAAACTGGAAAAAGATTTTTCAAGAAATGACGGCTGCCAAAAAAAAAACATTTTTTATTTCTTGTTTAGACTGTTTGGAATATGAAGTAGTAAGACTTAAATCGGGCCAGTAAAACCTGAGAAGTCTTGAGTATCGTTTTAATAAAAATAGTTTCGAGAGGAGGATGGAGTCTTGTATAGAAGTTCACGCAAGTGAGGAAAGTTCTCTGATCGCCATTTACTTGGGAGTAGCCAAAAACGATTCCTTTGCATATGGCTCAAGCATCTCATGACTTAAAGTCTTTGACCAAGTATATTCTGGGTAGCCTAAGAACATCCGTTTGAAGGCGAGCTAAAGTGAGAAGGCGAAACATTCCCTCCGTAGGGTTGTGCGCAGGGTTTGGGACCCGCCAATTCTCCAATGAAAAATAAAAACCAGCATCGGATGAGAAACCCCCCTTTTGATGACGACCATGGCAAACGACTTAAGGATTACGATTTGAGGTGATGCATCTGGAATGTCCGGTCCCTTAATTGGGAAGGTGCCGCCGCCAAGCTGGTTGATGTTCTCGTTAGAGTGGAGGCTGATATCACTGCCGTCCAAGAAGTGCGATTGACGGGACAAGAACTGAGGCAATGTAAACTGACTTGGAACAATACCAAAAGCCCCTTCAGGATCGTGAAGGACCTCTCCGAGCATTTCAATACCAAGCGAGATTTCAGACAAGACGACTCCCTATCGTGCGAGTTCTTCAATCTATTCCTGAAGAAAACAATTCCAGCTACAGAACTAAATAAGATAAGTGTACAGTTGCTGGCGTACGTCGATGATATTGACATCATTGGCCTCAACACCCGCGCCGTTACTTCTGTTTTCTCCAATCAAGGAAGCAAAGCAAATGGGCCTGGCAGTGAACGAGGGCAAGTCGAAATATCTCCTCTCATCAAAGAAACAATCGTCGCACTTAAGACTTGGCTCTCACCAAGAAACCAGTATAAATACTACCAACAATGCCAGCCTGGAAA